TTGCTCCGTAGCCCAGGCTGGAGTGCAGTGGCACAATCTCGACTCACTGCAACCTCTACCCCCAGGATCCCAGTTCAAGCAATTCTCCTACTTCAGCCTCCCAAGTAGCTGGGATTACAGGCACAAGTCATCATGCCCAGCTAATTTTTGTATTTTTTAGTAGAGACATTTTCACCATGTTGGCCAGTCTGGTCTTGAACTCCTGACTTCGTGATCCACCTGCCTTGGCCTCCCAACATGCCAGGATTACAGGTGCGAGCCACCATGCCTTGCCTGATATACCACATTTTCTTTATCCACTCATCCACTGATGGACAGTTAGGTTGATTCCATATCTTGGCTATTGTGAATAATGCTGCAGGTTTTGTTATGAATAAAGCTGCTGTGAATGTTCTTGTTAAGTCATACTGTGGACATAGGTATTCATTTCTCTTGAGTATAAATATAGGAATGGAATTGCTGGATTTTGGAGGAGGCCTATCTTTAGCTTTAGCAGATCTTACCAGACACTTTTTTAGTGTGGTTGAAACCATTTATACCTCAATTTGTACATCAACGCATGAAAGTTTCATTGCTTCACATCCTTGGCAATGTGGTACTGTCACTCAAATTAATCTGAGATACATTACTGGGTATGCAGCAATTTCTTAGGTTTAATTTGCATATTCTTTTAAAAAATATTGCATTTTAGGTTTTGGGGTACATGTGAAGAACATTCAGGATTGTTGCATAGGTACATACATGGCAATGTGGTTTGCTGCCTTCCTCCCCATCATCTATATCTGGCATTTCTCTCCATGTATCCCTCCTGAACTCCCCATCCCTCACTGTCACTCCCCTGGTTCTCTCCCCCACAGACCTTAGTGTGTGATGCTCCCCTCTGTGTCCATGTGTTCTTATTGTTTAACACCCGCCTATGAGTGAGAACATGTGGTGTTTGATTTTCTGTTCTTGTGTCAGTTGGCTGAGAATGATGGTTTCCAGGTTCATCCATGTCCCTACAAAGGACATGAACTCATTATTTTTTATGGCTGCATAGTATTCCATGGTGTATATGTGCCACATTTTCCCTGTCCAGTCTATCATTGATGGGCATTTGGGTTGGTTCCAGGTCTTTGCTATTGTAAACAGCACTGCAATGAGTGTTCGTATGCATGTGTCCTTATAATAGTATGATTTATAATCCTTTGGATATATACCCAGTAATGGGATTGCTGGCTCAAATGGAATTTCTATTTCTAGGTCCTTAAGGAATCGCCACACTGTCTCCCACAATGGTTGAACTAATTTACACTTTCACCAACAGTGTAAAAGTGTTCCTATTTCTCCACATCCTTTCCAGCATCTGTTGTCTCCAGATTTTTTAATGATTGCCATTCTAACTGGCGTGAGATGGTATCTCAATGTAGTTTTGATTTGTGTTTCTCTAATGACCAGTGATGATGAGCATTTTTTAATATGTTTCTTGGCCTCATATATGTCTTCTTTTTAAAGTGTTCATATCCTTTGCCCACTTTTGAATGGGCTTTGTTTTTTTCTTGTGAATCTGTTTTAGTTCTTTGTAGAGTCTGGATATTAGCCCTTTGTCAGACGGGTAGATTGCAAAAATTTTTTCCCATTCTGTTGGTTGCTGATTCACTCTAATGATTGTTTCTTTTGCTTTGCAGAAGCTCTGGAGTTTAATTAAGTCCAATTTGTCTATTTTGGCTTTTGTTGCCAATGCTTTTGGTGTTTTAATTATTAAGTTCTTGCCTATGCCTATGTCCTGAATGGTTTTGCATAGATTTTCTTCTAGGGTTTTTATGGTGTTAGGTCTTATGTTTAAGTCTTTAATCCATCTGGAGTTAATTTTAGTGTAAGGTGTCAGGAAGGGTTCCAGTTTCTGCTTTCTGCACATGGC